GGGTCCCGAACAACAGCAACTCCTTCTCCCTCGGGTGACGTTCGATCAAGTCTGAAGCCAAGAGACGAGCCGTCACCGACGAGCCTCCACCGCCGGGATTTTCGAGAAAGGCAGACATAAATCACTGCACCCATCTCGGGAATTTTGAAAAGCCGAGTTTATAAAATGTTCAGGAATCAATACGACACCAACGAGACGACGTGGTTGCCGGCGGGGCGGCTGTTCCAAGTGGAGTACGCGATGGAGGTTGTGAAGACGATGGAAAAAAAACTGGGAAATTGGAGATTGTGGGTGGGGGGCCATGAATTAATCGGGTATATGTTATGTATATTTAAGGTATACGTTCTGTATAATATAAGGGCTACCTTATATGTATGTATATATGGTTTATATTGACAAAACATAAACTGATGATTTTTTATTTTTTTTTTTTATATGTATGATTTATACTCGGTATATTTTCAGTATATGATAAAGAAATTTATCGCGAGACCTAATTTTTATGTATAAAATTTATTTTAAAATAGCATAAACTGAATTTTTTTGTTGGTGTTGTGTATATGTATGATTTTATATTAAGTAATATGTTATAATATGTTTTTAAACTATATATATACTTTTATGTATAAAAGAAAAAAGAGGAAGATACAATTTTGATGGAAGACATTTTTTTCATTGCAACATATACTGAATATATACTAACATAAACGCAATATATACCAGCCGCGTGAATTAAGGAATTCCAGTTGCACACATATACTGAATATATACTAACATAAACTCAATATATACCACCCGAGAGCTACATGAATTAAGGAATTTTAGTTGCGCACATATACTGAATATATACTAACATATACTCAATATATACCACCTGATAGCTACGTGAATTAAAGAATTCCAGTTGCGGGAATTAAGGAATTAAATGAGTAAATCACGCCACCAAAGGATAACTGATATGGATAGAGGACGTTACAAAAGGTAATTGATATTTAGGCAATCAGGTAAATAAAATAGCTTGATTAGGTATATATCCTATTAATTGATAAGTGAAAATTCTTTTATTTCATATAGTATGTGTGAGAATTTCCCCTTTTATATTTCTCTCAGCCCAGCAGATTTCTCCTCCTCCACGCCAATTTCAGCGCCGATCATCTCGTCTCCAACAGATTTCCGATTTCTCGGCCAGCCAGCTCCCTCATCTCATCCTTTGAGCCGCCACCAACAGCAACAAGAATCGGTCAGCCCAACCGAAACCCCCAAATTCGGCCCCTCTCACCCAACGGCTTCTCCCTTCCTCAGCCCTAATTCTCCCTTTATTTAAACCACAACAAGACATCAGCCGCCTACATGGGAACGAATTCAGAGAACTCCCTCAAACTCTCATAGCTTCACAGCAGAAAACCGACGACCAAGGAGCGTCATTTTTCGGTAAGAGCTCTTGTCCGACGATTGAGCAACGGAACTCGAGCCTCCATTTTCGCGATCGAAGCTCTAATCTCACGGCAACCACGTCGTCCGACAGCGAGCCTTAAATCTCGATTGATCTCCGACCTCCGACCTTCGTCCAGTTTCTCTGACGGCAAGAGCACCAGGCCTCGACGAAGAGAGTCGCCCTGAAGCGGCGTCACGAGCGCCACCGGGAGCAGTCGGTTCCGGCTGAGAGCAGCAAGCAAGGTCGTTAAGTAAGTCGAGAGTACCGAGACCTTTTGACCCTGATCAGCAGCACCCCTTCAGCCACAACTCGTTCCTTTCTCTGTTTTCACGGTATTTTAGCTGAGACCTCTAGCTCTTCTTTTGGCCGAGTTTATATGGTGTTGTATTGAGCTTAGTTCAGTTCTTGTTCATATGTGAATATATGATGAAAATGCTGTGGGTCACCAGATTTTATTTATGAAAAAGCATGCCTAATTTTATGAGAAAAGAAAGCATGTAAATAGGTTGTTTATGCCATGCTTAGTTATGAATTCTGTTGAGCCTATGTTGCTGTTTTCCTTGGGCTGTTATCATGAGGATTTGGTGTTGCTGTCATATTAAATTTTCGGAGTATTGGGGCCTTAGTCTCAATTCATTAGCATGCTCGAAGTCATGGTTGAAAGGAAGCAAGTATGTGAGCCTTAGTCTCAATTCATTTATTAAAGGATTTAAGCAAGCCAGAGTATGTGAGAAAAGAGGAGTTGGACCTTTGTGTTTTTGGCCTTATTATGGTTGAATTAATGAGGCTGTTTGTTCGTATGTACTTTTAGGTGATTTAAATGCATGCTTAAGTGCCTTAATATAAGAGGAGGAGGAATCATGTTTTAGTATGCTAATTTTCCTTATTTTATGAAATTTATAAAAGGTTGCTCAACCTAAAGTGAGTACCTATTATTTGCCGAGAATATCTGTGTTTTAGAAAAATTTTGGTGCGTAGTTCTAGTCGTTAAGAGTTAAGAGTTAACAGAAGAGTTCGAAAATTTATGTGCCTTATTTGCTTTTAATTGTCTTAATTGCTTTAATTTCCTTGTATGCCTTATCTGTTTCATGTGTTAAATTGTCCTTGCCTGTTTTCACCGCCCGTAATAAGATAAATAAATTTAAATTGTAGATTAAGAGGAGTCGAGCCCTCAGACGCACGTGCATTCATTCACTTTAAGTATAAATAATGGGGCGTGACAGTGTGCTATTCCTGTATACTGTTTTGACCCTCGAACCTTAGCCGTCTATTCTTGGTGCCTTCAGAAAACTCGTAGTTAAGTCTCTCTTCCTTCTTTCGCACCCCCACCTAAGGCGACCCGTTTCCATTTCACCTGAGGACATCAATTGCGAGCAAGGGAAGCTTTGACCCTCGAACCTTAGCCGTCTATTCATGGTGCCTTCAGAAAACTTGTAGTTAAGTCTCTCTTCCATCTTTCGCACCCCCACCTAAGGCAACCCGTTTCCATTTCACCTGAGGACATCAATTGCGAGCAAGGGAAGCTAAATCGAATTGCAAAATAGTAGAAAAATGGCTGAGAAATTGGCTCCTGAGAAAAGGCACAGTTTCATGCATAATGGTCAAAAGGTCTTTGAGTGGGACCAAACGCTGGAGGAGGTGAATATGTATATTGATCTTCCAACCAATGTTCCAAAGAAGCTTTTCCACTGTAAGATTGAATCGAAGCACGTTGAAGATGGGATAAAAGGGAAACCTCCCTACCTTAATCATGACCTTACCTGCCCAGTGAAGACGGATTCTTCATTTTGGACGCTAGAAGATGATATTATGCACATAACTCTGCAGAAAAGGGACAAGGGTCAGACGTGGTCTTCACCTATAGTGGGCCAGGGCCAGTTAGATCCATACACCACAGACCTTGAGCAGAAGAGACTCATGCTTCAAAGGTTTCAGGAAGAGAATCCAGGCTTTGACTTTTCACAGGCTCAGTTCTCTGGAGGTTGCCCTGACCCGAGGACCTTCATGGGTGGCATCTGTTCCCCTTAATAGTTTCTTTAATACTCAGTCTTGGGAAAAATAATGTTGCAATCCTTGAACTGGAGGTAAAACCACTCGTGGGCTCGTCAAGTTAATGAGATCGAAAGGCCTGCAGAAGAACGTTGGCTCTTGCTAGTGCTTATTTTGAACTATTCTATTTGCTTCTTAAAAANAAAAGTCTCTCTTCATTCTTTAGGCACAAGAATTTCTCAGTTATCTATTTTATATGGAAGTTATGTTCAAAATACAATCATTTCGCAGGTCTGTTCTCTGTCAAACATGGCTGTGCACTGTCAGCCTCTGATTATAAGACTTTTTCACCTACCTAACATCCTGTTTTGCTTCCAGTATCTTCATGAAATTTGGAGAGGCGTCTCTTGATGTTTAGTAGGAACAAGAATTACTTCGGTACCTATTTTACATAAAAAAGTTATGTTCAAAATAGTAACATTATTCTTGCTGTTTTTTGTCCATTTGACAGCAGTAGTGCTGCTAACTTTTGAACCATTTTCATCCTCATAACTTTCTTGTAAGTGTTCAAAGTTTCCACAAGAGTTGTATTGTAGTTATGTTTGTAATTATCTAGCAAAAGTTATGTTCGTTATACGGTGACTGAGCATGAGTTATGTGTCATGCAAAAGTTTTTGCAGCAGCAGTGCTCATCTGTTTTGAGTGATTTTCACTCTTAGAACACACTGGTCTCTGTTGTGTATCTGAATATGAGTTTTAGATTTGTGTCTTGACATCGTATTAGAGCTGGAATAACTTCAAAACGTCTTTTCTATTTGAAGTTAGGTTTAATATAAGAATATGGCGTCTGGCTGTTTGGTGTCAAGTTCACAACACCAAGGCTGTTGCCTATTTTCACCCTTGTAATGTACTTGTTAGTGCTCGAAGTCTTCATCAGAGTTTTAGACCAGTATCTTATCTTTTATTTTCGTCAGGATTCAACTTAATATTTATTTTATGGAATAAGTTGTTGTAAAAATACAAACGCTGCACAAAACTACCGTGTGGTTTGTCTATTCTAAGTTGTGCACTTCTTTTTACATATAGAATCTGCTCAACCTCAATTTTCCTAGTGTTGCCCTCACCCTGCTCGTACCTCGGGTCACCTATCCTTGGTAACAATGTGCATCATTCTTGAACTCCAAATTGCAGGCACTCTGTTAAAATGTTTGATGTAATACCATTATCATTCTCGGTTGCTCTATTTAGCACTAGTTGAGGCCCAGAAACTCATTTTACAACTTGCGCTTGTATTTTCTTTTTTTTTTTTTAACTGCGGGTGAATTTTTTATGCTTAGACTATTACAGTTGTGAGGATCAATTACAGTTTTGCTGCATACATCATTTGAATGAGGGTTTAAATTCCATTTTATTGCAGATAGTTTTACGGTGAAAATGCTGCCACAAAGATTGAAGAAAACCGTGACGGACAACCCTAAGAAAGTAGCAGATTTGATTGACCTTGTGAATCTGCCCACCATACTCAGAGATTTTATGGGCCAGTCTCAGAGTTCTCATCTCAATTGCTTTAGGCGAGTTTGGTCTTACATAAAGGACAACAATCTCCAGGTTAGCTTTCAAACACCTCCAAATATTACAATTACAATGATGATAATTAGAATATGTGGTGTAATTACATACGGACACTCTCACACACGCTGCTCTTTTATGCTATATTTGCTTGAGTTGGAATAGTTGTTATTTCTAGCAACAAGAGGATGAGATTTTCTCACTTTCTTTCTCACACTGTTTTGCTTTCAATTTTTAAGCGTTGTTACGTAGGGAAAAATCAGTTTTAATACACAAATTAGGGTCATATATCAGGGTGCATTCATGACCTTTGACGAATTCCAAGTCAGTACCCATATGTTTGCAAAATTCATCAACATTAGTATGGGCCATTAAGTCTGAACATGTGTTTAGAGTGTAAATTTAGGCCATTAAGTAGGGTGAATGGCCAGCTGGATAGTATTGCTACTGCTAGGTTATTATTAGCATTAACATGAGAGACTGAATTAGAATTTGTTCCTGAATGCCATGTAAAAAGTCCACCGAAATTATTGAACATATGCGTATCTCACTAGCTTGTTTTCACTTTGTCAACAAGACATGCCAATATTGTCGGATTTAGGTCTCCTAAGCTTGAGTTTTCAGTTCTCTTTTTGCAACTTCCACATCTTTCTATGACTTGGGTTTCAGTTTAGCCATGCTATTTTATATCTTTTTTTTAACAATAAAACTGAGAGAAGTTTGAAGAAAGTATTCAGCTAACAAACCTTGTCAAATTTGTATGATGTTTCATCTTTACTAACTCATACACGTTTCAATTATCCATTTGTAGGATCCACACAATAAGAATGTTGTGAATTGTGATCAAAAGCTCAAGAGTATTCTTTTGGGCAAGTCTAAGGTCGATCTCACTGAACTTCCCTCGTTGGTCAAGTTGCATTTTCCAAAGAAGCCAAAGTAACTGCTACAAGACTGATGAGGTTTTTACTTGCCAACCTCGTATCAGTCAATTCAAATGATTGGTTTGGTTTACAGTTTTTTTCCGGTTCATTTTCAGACATCTTTTGTGGATCCTTTAACTAGGGAGCCATCTGATAGGTGAAGGCCTTGGATGCTCATCCTGAACTCTTATATGGTAAAGATCAGTTTGCACAGCAAGAATTTGGGATCCTTATCGTGATATAGCACAGAACATTGTCACTTGTCCCACAAGTTGAATTCATAGTTCTAGACATCTTATGTTCCCATTTTTGTTCACATTATCAGCTGACAACTAATGATCATTGTTAAAAGCTAATCTATGATTTATATCAGTTTATCGAGGTATAATTGATTCAGACATATGCTAAAATTTCTACTATGTCTACTAGATGTCTTGTTTATTGCTGCTTCTATTATTTTTTCCAGTGGGACATTTAATATAAGATCAGTGATCTTTTTTTTTTTTTTTTTNGAGTCGTCTTCGATTATAAAATAATGTTCGACATAGCAATTTAGGTTTGTTGATAGTGCTTATTCTTGTGTAGCAATGTAAATTATTGAATGACCATTATCGGTACACTTTTTGACGCATAAGAGTATGATTAATTGTTTTAAAGTTGATGTGATGTATAATACTACAAATTTTGCGTGTTTTATATGTAAGACCTATTTTTCCTATATAAACGATGTGAAACAACTCACAAATGATATTTTAACACTTATTATAATAGTCGGTTCTTCAATAATCAACTATTTGCTATCAGTTATCAGCTATAAGCTGACGTATCAAATGTCAACTAATTTTCCAGCTATATCTACCTACTAAGCATATGGTAACTAATTTTAGTTTATTAAATGTCATTCATAATTCAAATTCATTTTAAGCAACTTAAACATAAGAATATTACAAATTTACAACAAAACTTCAAAGCCAATTCATATGCAAAAACAAACGGAATAAATTGGTGAATTCATGATCCTGTTAGAGATTTGTAAAGGAAAGCAAATTAACAAACATGTATTCTTCTTTTCTCTCTTATTGTTAAACATTGAATATGTTTGTTACAATAATTCCAACCAAAAAAAAAACAAAAATCATAGAGAAAAGAAACTTTGTACAAGTTCACTGCAAACTTGAGGTAATCTACCCCTATTGAAATGAAATAATAATGTAATTTAAAAAGGAAAAAAAACAAAAAATCTTTAAAAAGAATGAGTGTAAAATTATCATCCAACGTGAAGCTCTCAGGCTATCTCAATCAATATGCAAGGGTTCAATTTAATTCGCCACCTAAAGATTTTTGCATATATGGTACGCATGAAAGCGAGTCACCAACCTAACCACGTTATATATAAAAAAATAAAAAAAAATAAAAAAAAAATAAAAAAAAAATTGTCAAAAGCACAAGAGTAGTTGATCTTAAATGTGGTGGTTGGAAGGTTGGAACAAAATTGGTAGTAGCAAGTTCATTCACGTCAACATTAAGACCATCTTGTAGTAGAAAGAATCAACAGTACTTAATGATCTTGTAACTTTATGATGTAAGTAATATAGTCTTGTAAAACAAACGACTTTCAGATGTAGTTGTTATCCTAACTACACCTTAAACTTGAAATTGAATGTTGTTAGCCGGTGAGACTAAAAATTAAATATAATTGTTAATATACTCACTTAAATCTTATTTTGTTTTATTTTTGTGTGCCTGTAAGTGTTTTGTCAAAAATGTGCATTTATTTAGGGATTGATGGGGTAAATGAATGATCAGTTTCTTCACTGAGCTATTTATTTATTTATTTATTTAGTTATTATTATTTCTATATACACTCAAGTGGCAACAAGTGAGAAAATAGGTTGATCGATGGAGCAAGTGAAGGATCAAAGAAGCACAAAACGTCACCGTCTTGTGTCGTTTCACGAACTGCCAGAGTACATGAAAGATAACGAGTATATACTCAATTATTACAGAGCTGAATGGCCTCTAACACAGGCACTCTTGAGCCTTTTCCGCTGGCACAATGAGACTCTCAATGTTTGGACGTCAGCATCTCAAATTCACACTTATTTTTCTGT